ATGTAAAATAAATGAGTTGAGTTATCATTACAGGTAAGCTAGGGCCCTGAGAGTAATTTAATTGTAGGTAGGTGACTGACTACTATTCTTGCGACTTTTTAATATTTTTTTTGTGGTGTGTTTGTTTTCGCTTCTTAGCACCACACAACACCAACAAAACAAACTACAATTTTTTTGTCGTCGCCTTAAATTTTACCATTTTTGAACAATCTTTTTAATAATGTCTATTTATTTGTAAAATGTTGACTGGTTTCTAGTTTCTTATTTAGGTTATATAATTTTTGGAAATTTCCTGATTTACTTTGTATATATGCATGCATGAATAATTTCTGTTTGGTATGTTGATTTAGTCATTATGATATGCTGTGAACTGTCCTTACTAAATATTCATGTTTCGTGATAATTATTTTTTATCGATCGATATTTTGTTATATTTGTTTGTTTAAAATCTGAACTTTTTAAAAAATTGACATTTAACAAATTTTAATTTCGTCACTTTTCATCTTTTGATGATGTCAAATAAAATCAACTGTTGTGTTTTTCTTTTCTTACTAAAATCTCGAATACAAACATGTACACATAAAGAGACACAGACACACATACATACAAACATACATACACGCATACATACATACATACTGCCATCATATATACGCAGTACAATAAACATTCATGTCATTTCTGTCGATGTATTTTAAGTATGTTATACTGTTAATCTTGTTAACTATGATGACGATCATCATCATCATCATCACAACCATCATCAACGAACAACAATAACAACAATATAATAATAATTACAACAACAACTGAGTTGTTCTCATTATGCATTTCAAAAGCTTGCATTCTTCTTTTAATACAAGCGTTATATATATGTGTGTGTGTGTGTGTGTGTGTGTGTGTGTGTGTGTGTGTGTGCGTGTATTGTATATTTTTATCTATTTATTGAAACGTTATTTTTTACGCATACCCCTTGTCTCATTCTCTCTCCCTCTTTCTTACTTTATATATATATATATATATATATATATATATATATATATATACATATATGACTGGCTGGCTGACCGACCGACCGACTGACTGATTGTTTGATTGATTTATCTCATAGTACAGTATACATGAGAAAAAATCCGATTAAGCCAACCTACGGCTTCAGTAAGCCACTGTTTTTCACCTGACAAAAGCAATTTCTATATTTATATTGACAAAAATAATTGTGATATGAATATATTGATTTATTTAAAGCATTATATGTACAATAAAGTGCTATCGTAAGAGTTCTATGAAACCCTGTAAGCCACTGCTGTAAGCCAACGTATGATTTCAGCAGCCAGTTTCTTATGAGCACCAGCAGAGTGTAAAATATTCATTGAATATAATGAAGATAGTTGTTTAAATGACAAGTTTGATTTATTTAGGCCGTTTATTTCATAAGCAAACCAATTTTTAACATGATCGAATAGTGTAAAAAAAAGGGTGACTATAGTTCAATCCTACTAAGCCAACCTTCGGCTTCAGTAAGCCACCGGATTTCACCGGACCAAAAGCAATTTTTATATTCAAATTAACAAAAATAATTTAAAAATACATAATTCTATTAATCATTATTAAAATTAAATAGAATGTTTTAAGCATATTAAATCAAGTAAATATCTCATTTAGCTTGCTCGTTAAAATCCATGCAATTTCGTAAGCCTACAATCCAAGCACGACAAATAGCCCGACCGATAGATCGAATTGATCGATTAGTCCTATTATTCTAGTTATGTGGTTTGGAGCAAGGGGAGACATTACTGAAAATAATTAAAAGTTGAAAAAATTGAGGTTCTTTGCATATCTCTGCTTCAACCCATAAGAAGGTGTTGTATGCTGGTAAATAGGCCTCCCCTTGCTTTGTACCCGTTGAGAAATGTTATAGTTCAATTTCTAAAACTAAATAGATCTACCCGCCGGTTATGAAGTAAAAATTTAAAAAAAATAAGCGGTTTTTTGAAGAATTTTAATTTTTAAATGTTAATGACTTTAAAATTGAAAAACATGAATGAAAAACGTTTAACGTAGAAAAGAATAATTCATACAACATAATGTTATAGTTCAATTTCTAAAACTAAATAAATCTATCCGCCGATTATGAAGTAAAAATCATGGAATTATATAACTGGAAGCGCCCTACCAGCGTTTTAACATTGAAAATTTTTTTAAACGGCAAGTTACCTCTGGAAGCAAGTTTCTAAAAATTAATAATTTGTTTTAAAAGTGAAACTATCTTTTTAACAGATACGTTTAAAATTTTGTTACACATTTTGTAATGTATCATATTTTTATAACTTTATAGAAGTTTTGTGGTTTTTCTAGTAAAAATTGGTTTAAAATTTTTATTTTTAACTTTTATAAGCTTTTATTATTTAGTTTAACTTTTAGTTGTACCGTGGGAGGAACTTATGAGTCTCTTTAAACTGTTGACTATAAATAAATATTGCTGGAAAAACCACTTTGCCGTCTCCGAGATTACCCAGAACTTCAGTTGTTTCACAGCCACTCGAGTCAGAGGAACAATCATCGTTTTGATTTTGTTCATTTGTTTTTTTGGTTAGAAATTTATCCATTTATTTTTTTAAATTTAATTATTTGTACATGTACTATAATTTTTATAAGGTCTTTAAAATTTAAACTTGAAATACTTGAAATGCTAAAATGTCAACAAGCAGACGTGAAATTTTCGGTGGTGTGATTAAAAGTAAACATAATTTAAAACGAATTTCATATGTTGCAACAATTTTAGTGCTATTTAGCGATTAAAACAAACAAAATTAACCAGATTTATAGTAAGAAAATTTTGTCATTATTAGTTTCCTGCGGCCATCTATTCTAGCGATCGAAATTGAATGAAATTAAAAAAAAGACAAAAATATAAATTTGTTTTTGTAGTTTTTGTATGTTTTTAATTTAAAAAGCGTAATTTTAGACTCTGCTTGCGGACCACCAAGCAGGTGGCCGCGGACCACCAGTGGTCCGCGGACCACAGGTTGAGAACCACTGCAATAGATGACAGCGCAGCCGAGAATTGAACTCGGTTGTTTCTTTCATAGCATTAGGCACTGGCGTACCGAGGGGGGCGGATCACCCCGGACCTCCGATTTGGAGGGGGTCTCCAAAATGCCAATTACGAAAATTTTTAAATAATTTATTTATTTAGTAAGTGTATAGACGTGGTTTTATGTCTTGATTTTTTAATATATTCATTTATAAATAATCTGTAGTAATGCATATACTTAGTTAGAATAAACGCTTTTTTAAAATCCTGACCGAATTGGTAATCCACGTCTATTTTTAGTCTGACATTGACATCATTATACTTGAATGTAATTGGTTGAAATAGTTTTTGGACGAGTCGGCTTTTTCAAACTTTTTTTGTTGTCTGTTCCGTTTGATTTATTAGAGTGAGTTTTAAATTTTATTTATATATTTATCAATCTCTTCTTTAATAAGTTTAAATATAACTACTATCTTTCAGGTAAGAAAAACAGAAAGTATACTTTCACCCACCGGTACTGACTCACTAGTTTAAATCTAAGGTACAAAAAGTGTTGATAGGTAAAGACGGATATCTGTTCTCCTCGGTTTACGGGACTGATGTTACACCATTTTTTTTCACTTTTAATTTTTTAAATTATATTTTAAGCCCTGAAGTTAAAATAAATTATTAGAATTAAAACACTATCAACTTTTAGATAGATACGTGATCATGAAGGGACATCATCCAAGTGGAGCACAAAAACGAAAAATTTTGAAAAGTAGAAGGGAAGAAACCGAAGCTCTGTCTGGATCAATGCTTAAATTTGTTAACCAAGTTGCCAAACCAGAATCCATTATTGCTAGTTCATCAAGTCAGCAGACTGATTTAGATACAACCATAGAATCTGACCAAGGAAAAACAACCACCGAAACTGAAACGTCAAACCAACAATGCGAGGATGAAATCAATTTTTCTAGTAAAAATGATATTTTTTTAAATGGTGATGTGGGAAATTGGACAATTCCGTTATCAGATAACATCAGAATCAGTATAGTAAAACTAAAGAGGGAATATTTCCAGAACAAAAATGGTCCATTTAGAGTGGTTCAAAGAGTAGGGAAGCAAACAAAGGGTCAAATTCGACAGTTGACAAAGCATTGGTTCTACAAGCAGCTTCCAAATGGTGAAAAAGTTCTCAGAAAGTGGATGGTTTATTCTTCTTCCAAAAAATGTTTACTTTGCTTTTGTTGTCGACTTTTTGCTGCTTGTGATAAAAAAAGTAATAATTTTTCAAAATTTGTTACAGGGTTTAATAATTGGTGGAAACTAAACCCTAAGATTTCACATCACGAAAATTCTGAAATTCATGAAAAATGGAAAACATTAGAACTAAGTTTGAATCTTAATAAAACCATTGATGCCGTTCATCAAGAAAATCGAGAACTGGAAACTAAAAAATGGAATGACATTTTACACCGCTTATTGGATGTCACCATGTTTCTAGCAAAACAAAATTTACCTTTTCGAGGCCACAGAGAAGATGACTTTTCTAACAAAGGCAATTTCTTAGAGTTAGTTGAATTAATTTCACACTACGACCCTGTCTTAAAAGAACATTTAGTGAGGGTCCAACATAGCAAGGCAGGAAACACAATTTCATATCTTTCCCCTAAAATTCAGAATGAATTTATATCTATATTGGGAGATACTGTGAAACAGAAAATTATTGATGATGTAAAGCAAGCAAAGTATTACGGGATAATGTTTGATTAAACACCTGATATATCTCACCAAGACCAATTAAGTGAGATTATTAGATATGTTCATATAAAAAACAAAAATGTAAGGTAAGAGAATCATTTTTAGGATTTTTTCCTCTTGCCAGAAAGAAGGCTATTGATATCACACAAAGAATTGTAAATATTATTGATGAAGAGGGTTTGGACATAAACCTATGTCGAAGCCAAGGTTATGACAATGCTTCGGTAATGTCAGGTGTTCATTCTGGGGTACAAGTCAGGATCCATCAAATAAATCAGAAAATTTTATTTGTACCTTGTTCTAATCATTCACTTAACTTGAGCGGGGTTCACGCATTTGGAAGCAATCCAACTTGTGTAACGTTTTTTGGAACAATTGAAAGCATTTACAACTTCTTTTCTTCAACTCATAGATGGGATATATTGTCAGAAAAAGTGATCACTGCCAAAAGGCTAGCAGGAACCAGGTGGAGTGAGCAATATTAGGCGGTGAAACCTGTAATGAATCATTTCAGCAAGTTGGTACAGGCTTTAGAAAAATTATGTGATCCATCAGAAAATGTAGATACGAGAGGTTCAGCTCAAATTTTAATGAAAAATATTCAAGATTTCAAATTTCTTGCTTATCTTCATTTCTGGAGCAGTACTCTTGAGGAAGTCAATCATACTCAAAAATACTTGCAAACAGAAGGAATTGGTTTAGATAAAACCATTGAAAAATTAGATACCTTAAAACTTTTTCTGCATGAGAGTCGCGATGAATTGGTTGAAAATGCATTGATATTTTCTACAAAAATTTGTGAAGAAATTGGAATTGCTACAGAAAAATTGGGTCGAAAAAGTCAAAGAAAGCTTATGCCTGGAGAAGAAAGTAAAGATGAAGCTTTAACGTTGAAACAGGAATTGAGACGATCAATGTTTCAGTCACTTGATAATTTTTATCAAGATCTTAGAAAAAGGATAGAATCAATGCAAAATGTATATGTAAAATTTGCAGCCATTCAATCATCACATCTTATTGGAATGGAGATAGAAGAACTTTCAAAGCTGATACCAAATCTGTCTGAAACGTTTGATGAACTAGAAGAAAACGAAATGATACCCGAAATTAAACGATTAAGACGTCATCTTCAAGCAGGGAAAATTGAGAAAGATGATGTTAAAAAATGGTATGCACTGAAAATGTTAACCTATATAATAGAAATTGATTTACACGAAAAAGTTCCAAACTTATATTTAGCTTTAAAGATTTTTTTGACGATGTGCGTTTCAATTTCTTCTTGCGAAAGAAGCTTTTCAAAATTGAAGCTGATTAAAAGTTATCTTCGTTCGACAATGAGTCAAGCAAGACTTAATGGCTTAGCAATCCTATCAATTGAAAACACAGTGGCGAGAAATATTAACTTTGATGAAACAATACAAATATTTTCTGATGCAAAATCTCGTAAAAAACAGTTTTAATATAGTTTTCGATTAGCTGAATCAAAATTTTGTGGCATATGTGTACTGACATGTGTAAATGTTTTGTATCTATGTATATTGCATTTTTGTAAAACATAAAATATAAAAACATTTTTCATTTATTTTCTGCATCATCAGCCAATTAAAAAATGAAAAAAAGAATAAGTGCCTTATCCTTTTCTGGACATCGGCGACCATCAATTTCCACAAAATATGGACTGTGGTTAGTTTTTGTCGATGAATTTCTTGGCAGAGGTATAGACATATTTTTGCCATTTTTTTTTGCCATTGCATCAAATAAGCGACCATATGATGGTCTTTGGGATGAACAGCATGGTATGCTTTCGAACTCGATGACACTGACTTCAACGACCAAGCAGATAATCATTACATCCACCATATAATATCTATGTATATGTAATACATATTATTTATTTATGAAAGGCATCACAAATATTTCCGCCCCGGGTCTCAAAGGCCCTAGGAACGCCACTGGCATTAGGAACGAAGATTGACCAAATTTTAGGCCCAGTTACTGTGAGGCCAGTGGGACAAAGTTTCAAATGAGTAAATGGAGTAGATGTCAGTGACCTGTAAAAGCAGATTTGACAACGACACCAGGGATCAAAAAGATACTGTAAAACGGAGGAGGAAGGTTAAGAGACTTGGAGAAAATAATTGTAAAAATTGCATCGAAACATGAAATAAGTTAACAAAGCGATGTAAAGAAGTTTTCTAGTTAAAGTTGATAAAATGGAGTTGAGTTCATATAGACGGCACTATAGACAGTATTGTTGGTAGCACTAGGAACAGGACTTGATCTCAGAATTAATTTGTCCTTGGGTTAAAACATGACCTCAGCCCATGGATATATATATATGTATATATATATATATCTATATATATATATTTTTTATATCCATGCTTCAGCCCCGACACGTTAATTATTTTACTGAAGTGGTTTCTCCATCAACCCTTCAGCCACCTTCAACACATATATATATCATACTTTTGTAAAATTCCAATAGATTTTATAAAAAAATTTATCACAGTGCCTTTTTTGATATTGATAATAAATTCTAAAAATAAATTAACATCGCAACAAAATTGGTGGTATATTAAAGAACGTTTAAACGACAGCACAGTTTTAAAAGGGTCAAGTCTTACCCTTTGTTTAGCAGTGATCTAAAATTCACAACGTCCTAATAGAAATGACAAAAACTCGTGAAGAGCGTTCCTACATTAAAACAACTAAAAGTTGATATAATATAAGTCGTAAAAATATTGCAGTTTTCATTTATTTATTAATATATTCATATGTTTAAATTATTACAAGAAATGTATGTAAAAGGAATTAAGCTGATTCACACCATTAGCTGAAGAAATATGTTGAATCCAAAATTTGTTTTATGTCAAAAGATCCTGTGAAATAAAAAAATGAAAAAAACTTGAAATATTTTTATTCAACTTAATGATATGTTAAAAACATGCTAGAGTAAGAAAACAAAACTAACCTTTCTTTGGAATTCTCCTAAAAAGTTCGTTAACTTTCAACTTCGCTTCTAACAAAGAATCTTTTTGTAACCTTAAAAAATTTATGATTAAAAACCACCGATCCCATCATTTCGTTTTTATAAAAATGAAATAAAAGGTTTCTTATGTGACACTAACTCGTCATCAGAGTATCCAAATCGGTTGATGAAGTGTTCCGACAGGTTTTCAAGGATGGGATCACTGTGCAGAGCAACGAACTGCTCTCTACATATCTACAGTTGAAGTGAATTTCACCATTCTATATATTTTACTGTTGGTTTAACTTATTTTATTGAATGAAATCCAACGTAATTTTCGATACATAAATTTAAAATATGCAAAATTGGAGGCACCTTGTTCATCTCGGCGACCTGGCATGCGTGCGTCCAGAAGCAGTCATGTACTGAGGCGTAGAGAACACCAGCTCTGATTAAATGTGCAGCAATTTTCATTTTATTTCGTAAAAATTACAACCGACATAAAATAAGTTTAAGCGAATGTTGGTTTTTAATTAATGTATTAAAAGCATTTGTTGAATTCTTGAAACGCTCACTTGAAACAGTGGATGGCCGTGAGGAACATGTGAGTTGAATCAAGTGAGTGAATGAAATTAGGCGCAAACGCATTCTTCTGCTTCATGGAGTTCGGTTTTCTAACAAATTGTTTTTAATTTAAAGAACATTATTTAAATCATAAAAAAAAAGAAATACCAACTCGTAATTGATATATGGTGCAATGGCGTTAGTTGATGTCGCCTGCTTGATTCTGATCGGCTTGCTGTAAGGCTGAATGACAGGCCAGCCAATAGGAGTGATCCACGAAACTTTGTCCATTCTAATAGATGTGATTAAATCAGAACATATTCCAAACCATTCCTGTTTGAAGTTTTCAAATTGATTCAATTCATTCGAAAGTAAAAAATTTAATACAAAGGATCAATAAACTATTATCAATTACACATAAAATAAAGGCTATCCAGCTAATGAAGATAAAACTTCGAATCAATAATTGTTTATGTAACTTACCCAAAAATTAATATCTTAAGTTCTATTAAGCTGCCCTAAAAATAAAAACGAACAAAAAATAATTAAAAAGAAACAAATTGCCAACCTGAATCTCCTCTGATGAGTGGAATAATTTTTTGAGACTTTGGAAGGTCTGGTCAGTGAGGTAGCCCCTGGCAGCAAACTTCAATTCAGATGGAAACTCCTCAATATCTTTCAGCTGTCCTCCTATCTGCTTGCGTGCTCCGTATTTGGTCACACCGTACACCGTTGTCATTATTGACTGCTTCACAATCTGGCTCAAAATATGGTGGCTTTATTAATAAATTAAAACTCTGATATAAACTTCTGCACAATGATGCAAGCAATAAACAAATTAATATTAAAAACAGCAACAAATTTGAAAAATTGTCTCAAAATGATGGCGAAAAAATTTAAACAACCTGTCTTCGAACGAATCCATCCAAGGAAGAAGCAATCTCAACACCCTTTGAAGCATCAGCTCTGCGGTTCTGTTCAATCTATTTTCAGCATTAAATCATTTTTTACTATCACATTCAAAAAATTTCTAACATAAGATTTTCTGTAAACATACATACGGCAAGTAATTAATTATAGCACATCATTCAAATGGAAGAAATTTCTTTTCTACTATTTAATAAAGTAACAGAGCGCCAGCATTAACTCATGCCAGGGTTAGTTAGGGTCTTTTGGACAAGCTGTGCGAAACTTGCATAAAAACAAACTAAAGGGCTTCTAATAGATTATTTAAATGACAAACAAAATCATTAAGGTGACGTCATCGTCATAGAACAGTAATCATACTTATCACATTCAGAATAAATGTGTAAACAACAAAATAAAATAAAACAAGACTGACCAACTCAACGATATCCGAGTAGACATCTTGCGGTGCAGATGAGGGGACCAGACTGACAGACCTGGCACCGGCCTCATCTCTTCCTAGTGCTGCATAGTGCTGCAAACCATTGCATGATCCGTCCTGCAGAATGTTTGCGTGTGCAACTGTGCATGCAAATGTTTAAGCATATTGGAAGGGAACGTGTGTATCAATAAATATACGTACGTACACCACATGTGATTGCGTAGGAACGTCAATGTTATATTCGCCGTATTCGACCACATCACCATGTTGTTGAGATTATTTGATAATGATATAGTGCTCGTGATGATAGCAATAAAAAATGATATACCATAGGGTCATATTGATAGCAATTAGAGATGAGATACCATACTGAAATGGTCATAACAATTTCACAAAATAGTTCAATAAAACCAAATTTATCGAAAAAAAACATATATCAATCGATCCCAACAGCATTTATATTCAGAGAGAATTTTATTTAAAAACGAGAACGAAACAGATTAAAAAAAGTCATCTGATCTGATCTGACTTGATGGACGGGCAGACAGCTGATGTATTCCTCATGGTTGGCCGACCTGATGGCCTTCATAATTTCTTTACAACATGCCAGGGTCTGCCAGGGTTTGTCTGCTGTCTGCCACCACTTACTCCCCTGATAACGTTTGAACATTATATATTAATTCGACTGATATATACAGAATTGACATAGGTAATTTGGAAAATAACCAATGTCAAAACAAATTAATTATTAATTATAGATTTAAAGTGGGCTATCTCATTATCTCATCTAAAAATTAGATCAGAGATAACGCAATGAAAATATCTAATGCTTGTTTAACATTTCCAACACCATTCTCAGCATATTTGATAACAACATTCAGAATGAAATTCAACAATAACGACAGTCTGAAAATGAACATAAATGGAACAACTTAATTATCGTTATTAGCAGTCAGGACTTTACAATGCTATCGCATACAGCAATCATACCACGCACTAAAAATAATTCAAAAACTCCATACTTCAAAAGGCATATCGGCAGATTCCTCCACAAGGTGCATCACACTGTTTGCGTATGCCAGTCTATCGGAATTTGACTTCCTTATTAACGACAAAAAAAACTTCGTGTGAATGTAATTAAATTTATCCAATCAATGATCAGGCTAAAATTCATTAACTCATCTTAAATAGTTTTGTATTTATATAGCAATTTGGCTTAGCGTATTGACTTAACACAAGATTTCTGCATATGATAATAAACTGCTTTGAGATATGTGAATGGCTGAGACCTTTTGAGAAATCCAGTGAGATTAACAAGATGAATTTTAAGCCAGTCCAGTCCATTTGCACCCAATGGCTGACCAATGCCAAATGTGAGCAGACTTCGAGCGAGATCATTTCCTGACACAACGAAACACATTTAAATTAGTTTGTAAAAATGTTCCATTTAATAGAAAAAATTTAGTTAAAGCCGATATTCAACAATTGAAGTAAAAAACTTTTTAAACAGTTTAACCACTCATCAATCATGCAGCCAATTAGAGGCAACCAGCTAACCAAGATGGTTGAAATGTGGAGGTGAGGGGTAGGTGCGACCTCTGAAGTCTACATTGTGAGGGAACCAGATTGTTTCATCACGAAACTGCCCAATTAAAAATGTATTTCGAAATAAAAACCCCAAATAAATTCAACCATTAGCAGCTAAATAACCAGAACAAAATTAACTATGAAGTATTTATAGATCAAAATTGTAAAACAACAATGTAATAATATCTTAGAATGCCAAAACAAAAACGACAGACCTTGTTAGCAATGGAGAGTCTGTAAAGTTCCGTGCACCACAAACTGTACATCTCCTTGCTCTCCTTGGCCAACAATTTGTTGTGACGTACCGCATTCAACTTCTCCTCTGCAGACATACCACTGCAAATGTTTCGTTCGTCAGTTGCAGATTTTGTAGCAAGCCAAAAAATTTAGAAACATTTTTATAGTTGGAATAATTTACAAAAATTATTGCCACGGAATTAAAACTTGACACGAAATTAAAACACGAAAAAATAATCTTCCTACTCCTTAATTTTAATGACGCGTTGATTTTTGTTGTGTCGCTCAGGTACATCAAGCTTCATGTTGCCACCGTTATTGAAAACCGTGATGACCAAATCTAATATCTTCAAGTGCGAGTAAATAAAAATTATTGTTTAACTGTTTCATAAGCTTTTGGCAAAAAATATAGAACAGTTTAGGATGTTTAAATTGACGTTCACCAAATATATGTCAGTGCAATCAAACCTTAACAGACAACTGCTGAATTAATAAATATGGAAAAAATTTTTTTAAGATAACATAAAATTAAGTGATAACAAAATCAAGAATAAAGCATCTTTAAAAACTTTTTGGAATAAATAATTTTTTGTAAGTAATTTTTAAAAACAAATAATTTTTAGATGATGAAGATGATGAAGATCACCTCTTTATTAATCTTCCATGGACAGGCACTGACCACGTTGAGGCCATCATAAATAGGGTATACAGAAGAGGGAGGAAGTCTCTTGATCCAATCCAACTGACCATGAGCAGATGATGGATTACGTATCAAGTCAACTGATTTAATTATCATTTGTTCTATTTTTATTATTAATAAAAATATTTAAACGAAATTTTATAAATGATAAAAAACTGGCTGACTAACTTGAATTAAGCAAATGACCTCCGTGATTGTGATTGGTCCAAGGAACTGGAGGAAGAACCAATGGCAGTTCCCATGACTCAAAAGTCAACTGTGATAGGTGGGCATCCTCATAAAGTCTAACAAGGAAGGGGTGGGGCTTAAAACATAAACATCAATAGAAATTTAAGAAAAAAATTTATATTGCACCTGCAAAATATTAAAACACTGGCAGTAAATGCAGGTGAAATTAAGATGAAGAATTGAAACTTCATACTAACCACGATCTCTTCAGATGGATTGTTATTTCTAACTCTATGAACTGTGTAGAAGGCCGGTGTGTTGCTGTGATTATTTTTGAAAATGTTTCAATAGTTTGTTACAGTAACTCAATAATTAATGCTACTTCTATTTGCTTATTGAAAAAAAATTAATATTAACATGTATTAAAAAATGAATTTAAAGCAAATTAGTAACCTAGATCGAATTTCTGAATCTTTATTTACATCACTAGATTTTGCAGTTGGAGAAGATGACGCTGACGTTGATGAAGATGTTGATGATGACGTTGATGATGACGAATGTTTTTTCTTAATTTTAACTTCGGACATTATAATATTATAGAGGAACTTTCCAAGCTATGGAGAAATAAAAAAATCATTTAATGTAATGCAATGTAACAAAGAAAGCAAAAAAATGAAAAATAATCGATTGATAACTTGAATTTTTCAATGTTAACAGTAATATCATTTTTTAATGTTAAATAACTTGTAGTGAAAATACGAAAAAACAAGCAAGAACATTTAATTTTTAAGCATTTCAAATATTAAATAAATTATATAATGCTGACTTCTTTTTTCCTTGCTAAAGACCATGGCTGAATTTCAACCTGAGCAACATTCATTACAATATTTAAGTCGAAAAAATTTTATTTAATTTAGGAAAACACCATCATAAAGTTCAGAATCATACTAATTACACATAACCTACATCATCATCTTCATCGTCATCATCACGGCAAAAATCTTTGTCATCATTTATATTTTTTCATTCTGTGATGATGATGCTCGATGCGATTATCATAATGTAATCATCAATTATCATTTATTTATTCACAACTTATTTATTTTTATGAATAATCATAACGAACATAATCATTTTCATCATCACCATCATCCTTACGAAGAAATAATAATGATTGTTAATATGTTAATATCATGATCAATATCAGTACACTAATAAAAAGTATTGAATTCGTAGCCATTATCATCCTCACTATCATCATAAAAAATTTGATTTCATGAACGTTCTGAGAAAAAAAAATTGAAGAGCCTCAAAGCAATCAGATAATGCAAAAATAGACCAGCAGTTTAGATAAGGAGTGCATTTCCAAGGAAAGGAAGGAAACAAACATTTTTGAGTGGTAGGCCTCTAATAATATCATTCCATATCGTTCGATGGTTGCCTGTTACTTCCGAGCCGTTGTACATATTCAAGTACTTTCTATAAACCCTGACAAGCTGATGTTTCACTCAAAAATTCAATCGAATTATTATTTACTCGCAACTTATTTATTTTTATTCATTTACAAAAAAATGAAACATTTATTATCGTTAGAATATTCACATAGCCGCAATAAAAAATTATAATTTTTAAAGTTATAACTTGTTGTTGTTGTTTGCACCATGAAACTGACAATCACAGTTGAAAAAATGGATAATTTAAATAATAAATGAACCACATAAATAGAAATTGTGAAAAACAAATTAGCGTAACACTAACAGTTTTTAAATGTTGAGACTTCGATCTGGACTGGATGTGAAATTTTTGAAATATTTTTGACCCAAGACACGCATGTAGAAAACTGCAGGCCGGACTGTACAATGACATCTCTTCACCCAACATATCAATCTCCTTAAGCGGAGAACGAATGCAAAACAAATAATTTAAATGATGAACTGGTGAAAAATAGTCGGCACCATTAACAACAGATTAGAAGCTATAACAACCTGCATCATGAAATCTACATAGACGTCAGGACTCCAGAGTTTGAGGAAGGGAACTAATGATATATCTCCATGAGCTTCATATTATTTTACTCAATTAAGTTAATAAAAAAAACATAATGAGTAAATTATGCTAAAATAAATAAATAATAATAAATGAATACCCTTACGTGTAAAACTTCCCACAGATATGCCAGAACCAAATAAACACACAATAATGAAAACAGTGAAACAAATGATAATAACTTTGGTCGTTTTGCATTTGTAAGAGCTGTCTGTTGGCAATGAAAGCTTTCCTCAAGGTCTGCCTCCATTCCTCCTTCTGCTCTGCCAGCTTGGACCTCTGATTCGTGGTCAAGGTCAAAGTTACAAATGTATTTCATTGAATAACTTCAAGAAATTAGAAACAAAAGTAGCTTAAATGAGCGTGAATGTCCTAATGAGTGAAAACGTTTAATTTTGTTTTTATTTATTTATTGGACTGATGAAAAGGACTGTTTCAACATTTGCAAACAGTCTTCATCTGGATGACTTGCAACATCAGAAAATACTAAACATAGGTTTCCAGATGAATTAGCATGAAAATATAGGTTACGAAAGATACATTCTTCCAGATAAATCCATAATATAAAATTTTAAATAATAATTTGAAGAACACCTACTGCTTCGACTATGGCTGCATCCTTCACATTCACAGGGTCTTTAAAAATACTCTCTACAACGACGCTATTTTGCAATTCAGTATTTATTTGTTGGCGCAACTTTGAGCCAACATTTTTTAAGTTTAAGCTGTTTTGGAACGGATTTCTGGTCGGCTGTTAACAGAAATATGCCAAAATCAATTGAAATTAAAAAAGAAACAAAATGATTTTAACCTTTAACCTTTTCATAAAGAAAAGTGTAATAAAAACTAAATATAGAGAGTTTGTTTGGAAGTTTTACAATACAAAACAGTCAAAAATAAACTTAGATACATTATTGTCGTTGAGATGGTTTAACAATGCACATGAATATTCATTGACTGTTGGGAGGAGTCTAGGTACAAAATGGGATTCTACTTGCCTGATAGCCTGTCAATCATAATTAGGGAGCAAAATTATGTTAAAAACAAGAAGAAATGCTAAAAAGGAGATGCAGCAACCTTCACTATTAGGTCTTTTTCAGAGGTCGTGTATGTGGTTTCAAGGAAAATGTTTTCTAAGATTAAATTCTGTAAAATGAATAAATAATTTCGATAAGTAAAAAATTTAACTACTCAAATAATGAATACAATAATATTAAGAAGAGAATGTACATGTTTCTGAGTGTCCCTTATGAGTTTTTCTACAATCTCCACATTTTGACTAGGTTGTCTGCCCAGACATTCGAAACAAGCAGCAAATGTTTCTAAAGTGGGCTGCAGATTGGAATCTTCAATTTGAAGGTACAATTTTCTAATTGCTTCATAATTTCCCTGTCAATTTCAAAATAAAATCGTCACAAAATATAAATTTTAAATTTATTTTACTTGAAAGTTACACGTTTTCAAACAAACCACAAACACTAATAGAATGTAAAATGAAAAATATAACAAAACTAGAAACCAGTTTGGCCCATGCTTTGAAGAGTATGTTGTAAATTTTTATGTCTTTCACTGGCCTGTGTCTAACTTTCTTCCTGTATGGCTGGATTTTGTTGGACTTCTGCTTGCCTTTTAAGAAACAACTTGTCACGTAAGCCTGGGCTTGGTGGAGCTTGGTGAAACATTCTTACAGCATTAGAATTCAATACCTCATTTGCAATTAACACTTACAATAAGCTATAACAAAAATAATTAAAATTATTATGGTCACTTTTAAATAGAAATTCTATCCTTGTTATATTTTCTAACAAAAAACAAAAACATGTTGAAATATTAATTGGATTATTACCCTGTAGTGTGTATAATATGAGTTTATCAAGCATAGAAAGTTTGAAAAGTGCTGCTAATGTAAGACAAATTTGATTTCAATGACACTAAAAATCTTAAACTATGGCCAAACTGCCAACATTGTTCCATTATTGCGAGTAAACTTTTGGTAATTTGATTTCAAACGTTCATCATCGCCCTAATCCATAATGGTTTTAGTAAATAACTGAAACAACTAACCATTCCAGTTTGCACACAGAGATCAACATAAGATGCAACATCAACATGAAAGATGGCATCTCTGATCTTCTCTTCAACACTTAAGGCCACTTCTGTCTGTTTCTTCTTATTTAATTTCAGAACATTCAAATTGTCAAACAAATCTTTCTTGTCATTGCCACTACTTGTTTCAACAGATTCAATTCTTTCATTCTTCTGCCTTTGAATCTTTTCTTCCACTATGTTCAACTTTATTCCACTACTCTGTTTGACATAGTTTGTTACTTTGTTGACCACTTGACTATCTCTAGTTTTACCCTTTTTGTTGCACTTTTTACTTTTAAATTGAGAATTCAACTCATTTAATTTGGATATTTCTTCTGAAAGTTTATCTAAATCTTCCTGGTTTGAAGCCTTATTGCTACTGTTGACTTGATGAGTGACTTGTATTTTCTGAGCAAGAAACAAAACTTTTTGAAGATCAACCAGCTTTGCCTTTTGAAATTTATCAACTATTTTCACAAAATCTGAAAAATCAAAAATCAATTAATTAGTTTCTTTTTTTAAGTTAATAAACCTTCTCACAATATGTTGATATTTAGAAATTGAAGAACAACACAAACAAGACAACAAAATCAGCTCATATATGTAATCCATTGTTCCTAGCATCAAACAAATGTAATTTAAATATAATATATTAACCCTCTATATGTTTTTTCTTTTTACAATCTAACTCGGCATCATAAAACAATTGTCGTGATACTGGATTGACTTTTTTAGCTTTGTCATTATCTGATTTTGTGTAAGATCTGGTAACTAAGAAAAAGTATATTATGTTCATATCTTTATAATATAGATATAGTCTTCATATAGAAAGCTGAATTTATAACTTAATGAATATGTCTGCCACGCTGTCCTGTTTTTTAAAAACTGCTTAAAGCCTAATTTTATTCCTAATATAACTTCTAACTTCAATTAAAAGAAACGGATCACTAACTTAAACTTTTTATCTGGTAATATAAATTATATTATATAATAGAATTATAATTTTTAATTTTGATAAATATATTTTTATTTCTATACAGCCTTTAAAATTAATTAAATAATATAAATAAAATCTAATATAAAAAAACTAAAAAAAGATAGCAGAAAGAAAAAAAACTGCTAGACTAGACTAATAGAGTAACTATAAATAAATTTTAATGTACATTGATGAGATGACAAATAAAAAGCAGAACAAAATTTTTCACTGACACTTACTGACATACTATATTTAATAAATATTCAATAATAAAAAAAACTTATTACTGTAATATTAATTTTTTATTAATAAAAAATTTATTAATAAAAAACACTCACCATTGGTAGAGGAAAGGAGAAACTTTTTTTTATTATAATTGTACTGCATAAATCGGACAGTATGTACAAAAACTGCCTTATTAGACAAATGCAAAATAGACATGAAGAATGTAATTTAATGTCACCATTTAATATTTAAATGAAAAGCAAAAAGAATTTAAGATTC